TGAAAACCAAGACACAGCAAGCAATAACCAATAACAATTATAGCAATTAAAATTACAGTAAATTACAGTAAATAAGAGATTGAAATACAATGCAATAGACCAAAGTGAATGCTGGTCGTGTGTGGGTTAAACATGTTGTGGATGAAGTGTGTAATGTCCCGTTGAAAAATACTTAAATTGTAATTCTCAAGCTCCGGCTACACTTGCTCGCGCTTTAGGGCACGTAGAGAGCGCTCGGTATTTCAGTTTGACTTCTGCGGAGGCGCACGCACTTCTAGTCCCAAATTACATGTCAACCAACCCGCCATTACCATTGTTTGCTCCATTTTCACATTGAAATATTGGCAGAAAATGAAAAACGCAACCAAGCAATAGTAAATAACAGTTAAATAAACAGCAATGAAGCTGAATTTCAAGGCCGTCGATAAATAATTTAGGTTTATTAATCAACAACTTTGGGAAGCGTTTACTTTTTAATGCAAATTTTTCTTTTCAATATTTTTTATTTGTTTTTGTTTTTGATTTTCGTTTCTTTCAATCGTTAGACTAAGCAAACAGTTACTCGTTTCTGGAGAGATTGCGCGCCAAAAACATAAAACAAAAAAAAACAAAAACCCACTTACACAAAATGCAAAACAATACAAAACCAGTACCAATGAGTAACCGGTATTCAATACTGACTACGCAGCAACCATCACTAAACAATAAGTAGCGAACAAACAATTCTTATCTAAACTTAACAACTTCAGGGATCAAAATTTCAAATATTTTGATTTTCATTTAGACACGAACAACCAGAATTAATGGAAAAGTAATAGATCAATTTTTTGATAAAAACTGGAAAACTATAAACACTCGACCATATCCGAAAATTTTTACAAGCAAAACAAAATGAGAAATCAAAAAATTTAAACAATTAAATACAAATACAATAAACTAAACATTTTTGGGGGGAACTTGGCGTAAATGGTGGGAACTACAATACAAAAATATATACGTTATTATATACATACATAGAAGTATACATGCAAATTTGTTGTTCTAGTGGCTAAGCGGGGCCCAAGCAGGCTCGCATGTAGCGCTCGGAAGACAGTTGCATTAACAAAAGCTGTAACCTAACAATCTTTATGGAAATGAAATCTACTATTTTGTAAATAAAACTGACATTTTTGGTATAAAACATAACAACAACAAAACAAACAAAAAAAAATTATAGAACAGAGAAGTATGAAAATCAAAAAAAAATAAATAAACAACAAAAAAACTAGCAAAAGAGAAACCGAATTTTTGCGTTTCTTTAGAAAATTAAAGAGATAACCTTGTTTCAAAACTTTGTATGTAATTTTTTGACAAATGCTAAAAGCACCTAAATAAATTAAGAGTATATAAGTGGTGAGTAAAGAGGATGTATACGATACTAAGTAAATAGTTTAGGCGAAAAATTTAATACAAATAAATAGAAATAGCTTTGAAAATGCTTACTCATAAAATATTATGAAGCGATGCTGAAGAACAATTATAGTTATTTTTGATTTTCCAAATTGAAAAAGAACAACACAACATACACATGAACTCGTAATCAAGTGCATTTCAAGTGGGTTTGCTAAAATATATTTAAAAAAAAAAGTCAGTTTAATTTTGCCAGAGAAATCTTCAAAATACTCTATTATTTCAAAGCAAGGAAATGCAAAATTTTCTCATTTTGTGCAAAAATAACGGTTTTTTTGAAATGATTTATTTTTAAACTCGAATACATGCATTCTGTAGAAATGCTGAAGCATTTTTCGAAAAATATTTTTTAAATTCAAATTGAACGCCACCAGCATGCAGAGTAATTCAACATTCGCACATCACCGTTAATGCTTTAATAATGGCAATTTACGCACATTTAACAACTCTGGCTTTTACTTTATTCATATTTACTTTATTCATATCTGTTTTAAGTATTCCCAAAATAAGGTGCAAATATCAAAATTTGCTTATTAAATTAAAACATAAAAATTACAATTAAATTTATTTTTACAGTTACAAATAAAATTAGAAGCAAAAAATTAAATTATTTTCCTGATTTTCCATTAAAATTCTGCGTTACATATTTGTTTTTACAAAATTATTGTATTAAACAAAAAAAGTTACATAAAAACTTGCTGAATATTTAAAAAGAAAAATTATATAAAAATCAAAGCAAAATTCTGTATAAAGTAACAAAAGGAAAACAAAACAAAGGAAAACCTTAACGCTGGGCATGACAAATATTGTAAAATATTAATAAATAATTAAATAAATATTATATAACAAATTGAATGCAAGATGTGTACCAACAAATGGAATAGCAACAGCAAGGAGAACAAAAAGATTACCTACCTATTGTAATAATGTGAACTTGGAGCATACTCAGTATTTTTATTAATACTGTAATGATAAATTTATTTGAAAATAAAAACCATAAAATACATAAAGAACTGCACGTGACTCTTGACTTTACTTTATCGTCGAACTCTTTTCATTTCTAGGGCAGTTTCCATACATACGGGGAGAGGATCGCAGAAGATTGAAAAGGTTGAACGTTGGGCAACATGTATCGCTTTGCCTCTCCCCGACAACTTACTTATCCATTTCGTGGTTTCAAAGTGCATGACAGTATTTTGACATCTGTCAAACTGGATTTGTTTGCTTAAGTTAACCCTTTGCCCTCGAGAGGTGACTCTCACTCTCCATGGAGTGTGCTACCGCAACTCGAGAGGTGACTCTCACTCACCATGGTAACTCGATACGCGGGACTAACTGTTTACTTTCTTCGACGCGAGCTCTTATACGGCATTTCCGCGACAGCCCAATTACGTGTTTGGCTCTCTCAATTACGAATATATAAGAGTAACTTTTCAGAAATTATCATCTTAAAAACTCAACGCTTTAGTAAATGATTTCAATGGAAATTCGGAAAGTGTTGAAGAAAATCTTGCATTGAACGACTACGACGATGGTGATGTTAGTAGAGGTTTAGATTATGTGCGGGATGGTGACGCATCAGATGTTAAAAACGAATTGGTTATTGAACCGAACGAAATACTGGACAGTGATAAGGAAATTGAAGACGAAGAACAACATGCAACCGCGCCAGTTATTCAACGTGAAGCTACGGCCGAAAGTTTCTTTGGTAAAGATGGCACAGAATGGAAAAAGGAGCGATTCAGACCTTGTCCAAAACTTTCAACATCGGTTCCGATTGAGATATTCAAAAGTTTTTTTACACCGAATATTTCGTTCATTATTATTACCGAAACAAATCGTAATGCAAAAATTGCTACTCAAAAATGGAATGAAGAAAATCCAGATTCAAAGCCATGAGTTTCGGTTGATTTGACTAGTACTGAGCTTGATGTATTTATTGGTATATTTTTTGCTGCTGGTGTTACAAACAATAATATGCAAGAGTCAACACTTTTATGGCGTTCAGATGCTTTGCCCATCTTTCGTGCTGCTATATCATATAGACGATTCCTTGCATTGGCTCAAATCCAGCATTCGAAAACCAATTTAACATGTTTTGCTTGCGTTCCACAGATCGATGCTAGTTAGTATCAAATTTCATAAAAAAATCCATTCAAATCCGTATACATTTGTCCAAACAGTATTGAAATGACTCATAAATAAAGCATAAAAAAGGTAAACAAAACAAATGGTTTGTTTTTTTCCATTCCAAATATTTTTGTTGTTTTTTTTTTTACACAGAATTATAGCTAACATGTCCCCGAAGATATAAAAAGGTAAGGAACGAATAATATATACCTGAGCCTCTCTACATATGAGCCTCTCCATATAGTACTTTTTCCCATATAAACCTGGCCAGACAAGTGTGGTGTCGGACGGAGGGTTAATATTAAAATATAAAAGTTTTATGAGTTACGTGTGAGTTGTGTGTAATCATTTTAAGTTAGAGGTAAGAAATTCATCAAATACGCGTCGAAACGCTTCGAGTTGCGTGAAAAAGGTCCCAAGTGCAAGGGGTTAACAGTCAGGCTTTTATGAAATTGGATCACAAAGTATTAAAACTGTTAAAACCAACTACAAAAGCGATGATTCGCGCTTTAAGTGGAGATATTGGTACCCCTAATCGTCCAGCCACTGAAGTAATTGGTAAAATTTTAAAGAAAATTGAAATGACTGGATCGGTTACAGCTATTGTAGGGCGTGTGCGTCATCGTTTTTCTCGTTCCACCTCAATCACCGCAACGGTAAGTGAAAGTGTAGCCGGAGACGACGCAAAGAGTCCTCAAATAATTGAAGAAAGTCCATTATACAATAAAAAAAAAACTTACTGTCTGATGCGAGCTCTAGTCTGGAGGTGTGCGTAGACCTTCCTTTTTCAAAAACGATAACGGCGAGACTGTCACTGTCAATTCGAAGCATTTTGGTCGCATGATAACCGAGTTTTTTGGCCTGCAATTGGAAAACAAGACTTGGACGGATAAACCTGTAACTCGTTGAGTACTTGAAAACCAACATTCGTCAAGTTAAAGCTGAGATGCCGCCCAATATGTGTCAAAATGTGACCGAAAATTACCTCAAGCGGTTCGAATTTTGAAACATATCGCGAGGCCGTCAAAGTTCAAACTTAATAATAAAAATTAAGTTTCATGAAGCATATTACCTAAAATGTATTTTAGTTACGTTTATTTTCGAAACCGCAAAACGGTTTCCTATTTTGCAGGAGTAAACTCTTATGGTTAGTGTATTTTGAAAAAATGGAAGTTGCGAAATTTTGTGCATTTTCATACATTTCTGCTCATCTGTCAAAGCGAATATGTGGAAACTTAAATTTGACATGTAGAACTCAGACCCACAAACCATCAATCTCTCAGTTTTATGAGATCCAACAGAACTTTTGGCAGAAATTCAAACTAATAGATATTCTCTTTTCTCCACTTTTCATTCACTGCTTTCTAAGAAGAATCTTTTCTTCTCTGTATACAGTATTTTCGTCCATAAAATCCTCCAACTAATTTAAACATTTTTATTTTTACAAATTACTTTAAACTTTTTTAACAGTTGAACAATTTTAAATACGAAAGTGTAATTTAAATTGAGTTAAGCAGATTTAGCTCGACCTTCTTCATCAGATACTGATAATTTGAAACGGCAATTTTAAATTTGACTAGTAGTCGTATCTTTTGGGTTTCGAGAGCATTTCAATCCTTTGGGATGCCTTAGCCCTCAGTGCGGATCTGGATATGTACCAAGGATTAAGGCGTTCAAAGGATTCATGCTCCTTCGGTTCAGCTAGTTCCAAAAGACACGGAGTCGGCTTCGCACGTAACGCTTTTGCGGGTATTCGATAGGGATACCTGCGCTTATCTACATTGCCTGGTGGTTTAACTGGCGGAGCCGCCAACTCAAGAATACGTTGTGAAGCTGAAAATTGTTATAATACAATTAGCGATTAAAATCTGTAAACATTCATACATACGCTGGTAAGCTATCGTATTTTTCGATTTCTTCTGCGACGGCATTGAATAAACTCTTCCTAATCCGCGATTTACTGGTTGCGCTAACTGGATTATACGCTTGGTGGGTCTATAACGTTTTAAAGCTGTCGTCAGCCGCCATTCTGGCTTGCTCCAGTCCAGCCGTTCTCGTGGATACGCCAAATACTTGAGTTGCCCTGGCCTTAGAACTATGTTTCTAAAAGCGCACATGTTCGAGCGGAATAAACCAATACCTTAACTGAGTTTATCTAAAGAAAAACGGTTAATTTCTTGCTAAACGCAGAGAATGGAAATTTTTTATGCTTTTATGTTGAATGTATAACTATTTTTCATGTAATCAAAAAAAAAATATGAAAGAAATCTGACTCTGATGTTGGAAAATTAAGTTATTTTACATTTATTATGTGTGTATACATGATGAAATAATAATAATATATAATATGTAATTATTTCGTCATGGTGCAGTACTATAGTGCATATAGTTTGAAATGAACAGGAAAGGATAAATTTACTATACGCAAAAATGACGCTTCATAAAATGAAAATTAAAGAGGAAATACAACATATTGTTCCTGTAGAAAAATGGCAATTCTCAGATGTTCACTGTTTTTCGGAAGGATGGAATGATATATCTGTTGTGAAAGGTTCTTCGACTTTCTTACCATGGTACGTAAAAAACAGCTACGTAATGACAAATAATTTGTGTATTAAACTTTTGAGCTTGGCAACCTTTAAAATGTGATACTACCTTACCAACAAATAAAAATCTAGAGTAATGTGAATAAAGCAGTGCAAGGCGCCCATTCAATTTAAAATTTGTTTACTTGAGTTGTTTCTTTGTCAGCTGCCAGTGATAAGAGGTAAATATAAGTATCATTTGGATGGCATTTTCCCAATCGCTGGACATTGGCCACAGCACTTTGCTTAATCTAGATAGCCAAGCGCGACATGCCATTGATAACGAATTCGTGCCACAAGCAGACCAAGATGCTATCGAAGTGATACAGGAATCGCCTGATCACGGGCAGCGTTCTAAAATATGTGGACATGGAAATGGTATGTCCATATTCGGCAGATCACGCACTCAACGACAGTTGTCCCGATTTAATGGCAGTAATGCCTCTTCCATCAAAATTCCCGTGGACGTAGAGGAAAAAAAGCGAAGACGCCTGCGTAAAAGTAAATCGGATTCCACTCTACCCAAAGAGGGATTATTAAATGGAATGTTAAAATCTGAAAACTACACGGATTTGTTTCACAGCGGTTTTACCTTTTCAATAGAAGATCAACAAAAGAGCAATTTTGGTGGAGATGGTTCAGATTTGCGTGTATCGCAAATAGAAGCAGCATTTCAGATGATAACAGAAGAAAAAGTACATAACACAGCTAATGATAATGATAGTTATGTCGAAGTTGGCAATGGACGCCCTGATGATTTAGATGTTGCAGTTTTCTCCGAGGACTTCAAAGAAATTATAGATAATATGCATAGCTTACAGGATAAAGAAGTTGGGAAGAATAACTCAGAAGCTATAACTGAAACTGCCAATTGTAAGATAAACGTGGCTGAGAAACATAAAGCTGAAGAAGAGGAATTATATGGAGAACAATTTGATCAAAGTCGATTCATTTGTAGTGCATCACTGAATTCTGAAGCAAAACAACAAATAGAAAAAGAACTTCAAATTAGTCGAACAGAAGCAGTGAACGTTGAGGAAGTTTTAAAGACAATCCCACTTAAAAATGATCACAATGCCTCCCACGCTACGAAAAATCGTAGACTCTCATTCAGTGTAAAGTCTCCAATTAAAAAGTTAAACGAAAATAAAGATTGCGACTTAGAATCACTAAAGCGAATTAACGCCTGGAATCTGCCACATAGTGTATTGCAGGAATACGAAAAGAAAGGTGTCGTTAAAATGTTTGATTGGCAAATACAATGCCTCAGCAATCCGAAGGTAAGTGCAGGTCTTAATATAAACTTACGTATTCTGGTGATAAGTTATGAAAAAATTCCAATTTATGCGTATCTATCGTTACCTTTTGGTACTTACAAACTTGAAACCAAAATTATACTATACAAAAACCAAATTCATTAACGTCCTCACCCAGGTTATTTTCGAGCATTGCAATCTCGTCTACTCGGCACCCACTTCAGCTGGTAAATCATTGGTTAGTGAGATTTTGCTATTGAAAACTGTGTTGGAGCGTAACAAGAAGGTTCTATTTATACTGCCTTTCGTTTCTGTAGTTCGAGAAAAGATGTTTTATTTACAAGACTTGTTAACCGTAGCTGGTTATCGTGTTGAGGGCTTCTATGGAGGTTACACGCCTCCTGGTGGTTTCGACAGTATACACGTCGCCATTTGTACCATAGAGAAGGCCAACTCGATAATAAACAAATTACTAGAGCAAGGTAAACTCGCAGACATTGGCACTTTGGTGGTCGATGAAGTGCATTTAATCTCAGATCCCGGTCGTGGGTACATACTCGAACTTCTAATTGCCAAAGTGTTATACATGTCACGCAAGTACGGCTTACAAATGCAAATTGTTACCATGTCTGCGACATTAGCCAATGTTGAACTGCTTAAACGCTGGCTGGATGCTGAACTTTTTATTACCGACTTTCGACCAGTGGCACTGCAGGAGATGATTAAAATTGGTAACACGATATACGATAGTAAAATGCGTCCCTTGCGTGATGTTACTCAACCCTTACAAGGTGAAAAATATCCTTTTCCTGCAATACAGAATGACAATGATCATGTAGCGCAGCTATGTATTGAAACATTACTAGAAGGTTGCTCGGTGATTGTGTTTTGCCCCTCCAAGGATTGGTGTGAAAATTTAGCTACCCAGTTGTCAAACGGCATAAAAACAGTAATGCTAAAAGAGGACTATTGGGGTAAGCGTTTACGTGCCCAAATAAAAAGTGAAGCTATTGAGGAAGTGAAAAAGCAGCTGCGAGACATACCCACAGGTTAGACAATTGTTGAAGTCAAAATTAATAGTAATGCATTGTTCGATATTTTTCAGGTCTCGACGCGGTGCTCGAAAAAATGATAACATTTGGTTGCGCCTTTCATCACGCTGGACTAACAAGCGAAGAGCGCGACATTATCGAAGGCAGTTTTAAGTCATGTGTTTTAAAAATAATAGTGGCGACCAGTACGCTTAGCTCTGGCGTTAATCTACCAGCACGACGTGTACTGATACGTACTCCGCTCTTTGGCGGCAAACAAATGAGCTCACTTACTTACCGGCAGATGATCGGACGCGCAGGTCGCACGGGCAAGGTGGAACAAATATAGATGTATACAGAGGAGTATAAATTTTAATGCATTAAATCACTTACAGGATACCTTGGGTGAGTCCATTTTAATTTGCACGCCAGCCAATGCACGTACTGGGCAAGACTTGGTTCAAGCCGATTTGAAGCCAATCTACTCTTGCCTGGAGCAAGAAAGTAGTGTGAGTTTTTAGGTCAATCTTGAAAAACGATGTATTTTATGAAATCTTACTGCACCACAGACACATCTTAAACGCGCATTGCTCGAGGTTATTTCATCCGGTGTGGCAATAACTAAGGACGACATCGACAACTTCGTCAACTGCACTCTTTTAAGCGCAGAAAAACAGCTCAACGAGCAAGGAAAGGATAATAGTGATGGTGGTGATGAGCTGTTCATAACCGACGCCTTGGATTTTCTAAAGGAATATGAATTTGTGCGGCTGCAAGTTGACAGCGATACAAAAAGAGAGAGCTATGTTGCGACCCGTTTAGGCCAAGCATGTTTAGGTATTGTGGTGATGCATTGCTTAAACTATTAAACTTCGAATTAAATATTCCTATTTCAGCTGCCTCCATGCCGCCCACAGACGGCCTCATTCTCTTCGCTGAGCTGCAGAAATCTCGTCGCTGCTTTGTGCTTGAATCGGAACTTCACGCTGTATACTTGGTCACGCCCTATTCGGTATGCTACCAACTGCAGGACCTGGATTGGTTGCTCTTTCTCGATATGTGGGAAAAGCTAACGCCAGCTATGAAAAAGGTCGGAGAATTGGTTGGTGTGAAGGAGTCTTTTCTGGTGCGCGCTATGCGTGGACAGTCGAAATTGGACTACAAACTCATGCAAATACACAAGAGGTGGCGTAAAGAATTTGATTTAACAAAAAAAAACAAACACAAAAAATTGAAAATCTTTTCCATTTCACAGATTCTACACCGCACTGGCGCTGCAAGAGCTCGTCAATGAGGTGCCAATCAATATCGTTGCAGCCAAATATAAATGCACACGCGGCATGCTGCAGAGCCTACAGCAGATGTCGTCCACTTTTGCAGGCATTGTCACCGCTTTTTGCAACTCACTGCAGTGGCCCACCTTATCCTTGGTTGTTGCTCAATTTAAGGAACGTCTCTTTTTTGGAATACATCGGGACTTGATTGATTTGATGCGCCTGCCAGATCTCAACCACAAACGGGCCCGCGCACTTTTTGATGCGGGCATAACCGGCCTTGTTGAGCTGGCAAATGCTGATGTTCTCGACGTAGAAAAAGTTTTATATAATGCACTGAGCTTCGATTCAGCCAAACAGCATGATAATGAAGCAGACTATGAAACAGCACAGCGCAATCAAGCTCGAGAATTTTTCATAACTGGAAAACTAGGTTTGACGGTAGCAGAAGGTGCAAAGTTATTGGTGGAAGAGGCACGTACATTCGTGCAGTATGAAATTGGCGTTGGTGCAATCAAGTGGACGCAAGAAGATGCAACTAGCAGGGGCTCTATGGACAGCTTACATATTTCTTGTGAAGAGAACGCCAAGGAGCATGGAGTCAAGCGCAAAAGTACTGAGATTTATGCCAAAGGCGTTTCTGAGGTGACGCAGCCAAAAGTGGGAAGAGTGGGGATGGACGTTGAACGGGATTTAAATGACGAAAAGCCGTCGACAAGTAAAGAAGCTTTTCGTGATTTGAGACAACGACAGACTAAAGAAACAGAAAATAAGGAAAAGGTTCTGAAAGAGCAAAACAAGCAGCTCGTTCTGAAGTCTGCTTCAATAGTAATCTCTAGCAAGCGGTCTTCTTCCGAGTTGGGTAAAATAATACCTAAAACAAACGAAGAGGTTAATACGAAAGCAAAGGAAGTAACAGATGGAACAGTTGCTCAGATCCAAAACGGTTTATTTGTCCCGCCACATATTGCCAAAAAATCCAATGCAGGATATAATAAAGAGAATACCAAGGCTGGAGCCGAGCCCAAAGAACTCGTACCTGAAGAAAAACGAGAAATTTTACAAGCTGTTAAGACTAATAAATCAAAACCACTTGAAAATGTGGCTAAAAATGAAGCGCAGAAGTCTTTGGGAGCCTACCCTAAAGTTGTAAAACCGAAAGAAATCGCGCAGACAGTAAACACTGCACCACATGCATTACGCAAATCTACCGAAAAGTCAAAAGGTACAAAGTCTGATTCAAATTTTACATCCAATGGGCGAAACAGTGGCAAAAGCAATACGCCAAAATCCGCTGCAACTTCGAAAAATAGCCCACAAACAGTGCAACTACAAACTGTACCACGGCGTAGCCCGCGTAACCATCAACTCCTCTCCAATAACCATACCCGCACACCGCCAGCTACGACTGCATCTAAGGCTGCCAATAATAAAACGCGACACCTTGACGAATCACTCTTCTTAGCCGAGGACTCCTTCGAGCTAAATACTGGCATTAAAAATGTGCTTGATGCAGCAAATCAATTAAATGGCAACGCGCCGCTGGCATCACCCGCACCTGGCAAGTCAAAGGCCGACGATGAAATTCCAGAGTCACAGGAAATTGTGCAAACAGTGGCCAATTCTCCTGTGCCGGCGAAACACTCAGTACATGCCTCACGACTGCTTCGCACAACACAACGGTTGAAAGCGCACAAAAGTAGGGTAACAAAAGACCAGAACAATGAGTCGAACCCCTCAAGCTCGATAGAAGTCTCAGATTTATCACTCGAGAATTCGTTGCTCAAAAACCCTTTACAATTGAATGCGTCACACATTTTAAATTGCTCGAAGGTGGACACCGCCTCCACTAATTTTAAACGCCTCGAGGTGGTTGATATCTGTGGCGATCAGAAACTTTTCAACGCTGCGCTGCGCGAACTCATGGAAGTCAAACGCTTTGGCTTCTGTGTTGGCTTGCAGCAGCAAGAAAATAAGCGTAAACCGCTGATCGGTGGCAATTTGCTCCTAAATCAGTGCGCAGATGACGCCACGGAGGCTAAAGACTTTCAAATCGATGATAACACATTTCTGGCTGGCTGTGCTTTCGGCGTCGCGGACAATATAGTCTATTATATGAATATGCAGGCGGAAGGCACGTGCAAGGAAGTGTCGGCGGAAATGAAATGCAAATTCTTGCGTTCACTGTTGACCTCAAGCAAATGTACCTTGCTGTGTGTGGATGCAAAAGAGCAGCTGAAGGTCTTAAGTCGGGTGTTGGGTGAACAAAGCGAACTGAGGGTTCAGTTGGAGGATCCCAAGGAGGCCAATTGGCTGTTGCAACCGGACAAGTTCATGAGTTTTCAACAGATGGTAAGTCAAAACTGAAAAAGATCCTTACTACAGCATTTAAGTTTTTTTCCACTAAAGACGCAGCAACTAGCGCCGGAATGCACAGCGCTTACGAGCCTCTGCGGCAATGGTCGTGGTTACGGTAGTCATGGTCTAGATACGGCTAGCGCCATTTTGGCTAAGGTGAGGTAATGTTTTAACACACATATAAAACATTTCTCAAGACCTACTAAAATATCAATTAACTACAGATGCTCAGTCGAGGCATGTGTTACGGTGCACATACTGAAAACCCAAATAGAAAACCTGGAGCGTATCGGTACCGGGCAGCTGTACAAATTCTTCAAAGGTTAAACTTTTCCTTCTCTTCTTTTTACCCAAAAAAATATTAGTTTTTATGTTTATTTTGCAGAACTCCAAATGCCTCTGCAGAATTCCCTTTGCAATATGGAGCTCATCGGATTTCCAGCAAATGAAACGGCTTTGCGCAAGATCTTCCAACAGATGGTGGAAACGATGAAAAAACTGGAGCTAAAAATTTACGAAATGCATGGTGGCAAATTCAACTTGGGCTCCTCAAGTGCTGTAGCGAAGGTAAAGAGAGGAGGTTACATAAATAATACAAAACAAATGAACTTATCCAAGAATAAAGTGCACATATGTTTATATTTATATTTATGAGTATGTTAACCTGTTTTATTTGTTTCTTTTAAAGGTGCTCGGTCTGCATCGCAAAGCCAGCGGCCGCATTAGTACTTCGCGACAAATTCTGGAAAAAATCGATTCGCCCATTTCCCAAGCAATTATTTCCTATCGCAAATTGAGCGCCACTTTGGCCAAAAATATTCAACCGCTTTTGAAATGCGTGCGAAAAGACAGGTAAACTATTTACAATATTGAGTATGCACGCGAGGTCCTTATGCAATACATTCTTACAACAGAATACATGGTCAAAGCATCACCTACACACAAACGGGACGGATTTCGATGACCGAGCCAAATTTGCAAAATGTCGCCAAGGATTTTGTGATCGACTTTGGCGGTAAATCATAATTAGAAATATTACGAACTCCATACACACAAATCGAGTAATATTGTATATATATATATATATTATTTTTTTTTTTAAAAGGTGTTGAAAATGTTGTTATATCCTGTCGCAGCGCATTTTTTCCAACGGAGAGTGGCCGCTGCTTGCTGTCATCCGATTTTTGTCAGCTTGAAATGCGCATACTTGCGCATCTCTCACAGGTTTATATACACCCATATTGTGTTCCGCCTTCATATTGATATAAGTATGTCTTCTCATATTAAGGATCCGGCGTTGCTGAAAGTGATGAATACCGAGCGTGACATTTTCACAGCAATAGCAGCGCGTTGGCACAAGCTGGCAGAGAGTGATGTTTCTCAGCAGTTGCGCGATGGAACCAAACAAATTTGTTATGGCATAGTTTATGGCATGGGAATGCACAGTTTGGCTGACGCCTTAAAATGCACCGAACAGGAAGCGAGCTCACTCTCGCAACAATTTCACTTGGCGTATCCTGGTATAAGGTAACTTTTGGAGCAAAAAAAAAAAAAAATGAATGAAAAAATATATTATAATGTATAAATGCATTTATTTTCCAGAGCATATACCGATAAGGTAGTAAAATTCGCACGCAACAATGGTTATATCGAAACCATCACCGGCCGTCGACGATACCTGGAGCACATAAATAGTGGCGAGCCGCAGCAGAAAAGTAAGGTTTAAAATAAATTTAGTGGCATTGCGAAAAATGCATGTTTATATAAAAGTTTGATGGGTATTACGTCCAAATGCACTTTTCCATCTATTTTCCTTAACAAATATTTAAAGCTAAACCGCTTCACTAGATGTTATACTAGTTTTTTTCTTGAAGTAATTATTATATTGAAATTTTCCTACTCATGAATTAAAAAAAAGTATTGCTTTTTTGTTTACCAGAAGGATTTTGATTTATATTTTTAACAAATAATTTGTTTTTTTTTCAAAACTTTTCAGAACAAGCTGAACGCCAAGCCATCAATTCGACAATTCAAGGCTCTGCCGCCGACATAGCCAAGAATGCGATTTTGCGCATGGAGAAAAACATCGAAAAGTATCGTGATAAATTGGGCATAACAAAGGCGAACGCCGTTCGCTTCGTCTTGCATATACATGACGAATTGGTGTTCGAAGTGCCCACAGATAGAGCAAGGAAAGTTGCCAAAATCTTGAGCCTAACTATGGAGAATTGTGTTAAGCTTAGTGTGCCACTTAAAGTGAAACTCAAAATGGGCGAGAGTTGGGCTGAATTGCAAGAAATTAAGTTATAACTTTGCAGTTAGTACAAGATGTTGATATTTTAAAAATTATTTAAATTAATTATTCACACATTAAGACATTACACAATATTTATACATTTTCAATTGTAATTTATTCAATAAACGCTCTACAATAATTGTAAACATCTATTTTAAATGCAATAGAAGGAGAGCAATCAGCTTAGGATAGCTTTTTGATTGTAAGTATGTATGTAGGCCTACAATAGTGTGCAGCATAGTTTTTATTTCTTATTTCTTTTTATTTGTGTTTTATACTTAGCATATTTGATATGTTTAACTTTTTACTACTTTCTTATGTTAATTCAACATTGTATTTTCAAAGATATATTGTTCATATTCGTGTTAGTTGGCTTAAGCTTTATTCAAACCTTCCTTCTCGGCCCACTCAGTCCAGGAACCAGGATAGTATTTTGCACTGAAATTAATATTATTTTATGTTATAATAAGAAAAACTAATGCTAATTTTGAATAATTGAAGAGAGACCCTTTAAAGTTTTAGGGTACTCTTATCAAGAGCTACCCAAACGTTTTAAAAATTTTAAGCTGCTGCTTAAATGAAGTTATCAGTGTTAAATGAGCTCAAATTTTTCAAAAATTTTGTTTTACTAGAAATCTTTAAAATTAGTCGTGTTCGGTGAGCTGATGGGCAGTAACAATTGTTACTAAATTAGCACCGAGGGAGTGTAATTTCGACATTTCATTACTGATGGCTAGTTCTTACTGACATTTCTATTGTCATTGTTGTTTGGGGTCATGGTTCTCTTTTCTTATTGGACAACTGTAAATATGTTTATTTAATTTACTTACTTTTCATAGCCATTTGCCACTGCCAATTCATAAGCCCTCTTAGCACGTCCACCAGCTTGACACGTGAATATCAGAACTGTCGCCTTACTCGGCTTGTCACGATTAAGTGCGGTTTTAAAGTCATTTTCAGACATCTGGAAAGCTGCCTCCAAATCAGTCACTGAGGTGAATAAATACAGATTTTTTCAATATTATATTTTCACGCACATATATCAATATCCTACTGTCTTTGGTATAAGTATGTATACATATATATATACATACAATCGCTTATAGGTAAAATATATACAGACATTAGGTTTTTCAGTTTTAAAAAGTTTCAATTATTATTTCTTAACAATTCCGTTCTCCATTTTATTCAAGGTGTAGTTCACCTTAACTTTTAACCGCCTAATCGCTTATCATACATATATCAGTAGAATTTTTTATTGAAAGATATGAAGACAATGGAGACTTTTCGGTAGATGGAGTTTGGATTTCTATGGTCATGTTTGCATATATAGCCAATATTAACAAGTATACATTTGTTCCTGTATTTATAATATTTGTATATACATCTATACATACATACTCAGCCCATTTATATTAGAACTTTTTCGTGTGAAATTTCATTTGAAACGAATTAATTGATTTGTCGATGAGAAAATATATGTACGTACATACTATACTCGTATATTTTCACAATACAGATATCTTTATCCTCGTCATCGCTAATCCTCTTAATTGTGAATTTAACACCAAAAATTAAAGTGGCATCTTGTCACTTCCTAGCCCGGTCAAAGTAATCAAGGATGTATATACATATGTATGTATGCACTAGTACTTACTGGGAACACTAATAGCTCCTGGTATTACGCCAGTCCTGGCTAACTCGTCCTTGTTTCGCACATCGATCAAGTAAGTGTTGGGTTGGTTCGGTACATCTTTGACTTCTTCGTATGTCACAGTAGCCATCTTAGGTTTAGTCTAGTATTTGATTTTATGCTTGCTTGCCGGCAACTGAATTGCTAATGCCTACTTTTGCGGAAACAAACAAACTGGGGTTCACCACTATACTGTCTATGTGGTCTTTTGTGTTTGTATGTCAGTAATATTTTTATAAATATTTAAAGAAACACTTTGATGATTAATTCGCCGCTTTACCAGTTCGTTTATTGATAAGATAGGTGCTGTTGCTTTTCGTCAGCTTTAAAATTGTTTGTGCCGGTTTGGTTGGTGTAAGTACGTTGTATGGTGTGTATAAATGAGAGATATTGTTGTTGTTTCAGCATTGATAATCAGTGGAAAAAGCTCCTTACGTTGGTGATATTTGCTACTGTTTTTCAACAACGAAGTTGAAAGCTTTTGTCATATGTTTATTAGGGACATTCGCTTCATACGAGAAAAAAATAATAATAATTATAAAGTTTCACAGTATATAAACCTTTTCTCAGTTGGTTAAGTGATGTCATCTCAAACCAGCTGCTCTTAGAAAAAACGTCAGTACCTGCTAACAAATTAGGCAACCAGACACTACGAAAATCAGAGGAGCGATGGACAATCGAGTGAACCTTTTGAGCTAGTCTGAGTTCCCGATGACCATTTGACTTGATCAAAATATGCACACAAGTTAGGGAGCCGTCTCTAAATGACGTAGCTCAGATAAAGAGGGCGGGCGCCCTACAGAAAATTACCCTCAGGAGAAAATTAGAGAGAGTTTAACGGTCGTCTGATATCCTGGTAACAGACGCACTGTGAGATGTAAAGCAATTAGATTGTATGTAATTTAACCTTGGATGAACTGTATTATTGGACGCGCTAAAATTATATCTTTGCAGAAGTGCCGAAGGAGCTCAACTACACGACCTCCAGCATGTGCGTCGACAATCTTTTCTCCATGTGAATCCAAAACTGAACTGAGTGGAAAAACACCAACGCAATCGATCAAAGAACCATCTTAAGGTGATCTAAAGCTCGAAGGAAAAGTGGGCTGCGGAATCTACAGTCCGATGCATGAGAGTAACAGACTACTGCAGCGTCTTCCAAATAGAACTCTTTGGAATCATGGAAACCGCCGAGTGACTGCTGAAATCTATGACTAGGACAATTGGTTACCATATATTCCGGCAAGCTGCCAACAGATCTCTAAAAAGTAATAGTACCACACCTAAGGTGGTTGTAAAAATGTAGAAGCAAACTGAACAAACCATCGACGATGGAACCATTTTATCTACAATAAAACATTCACACAAAGCAGGTTTACCTTTGTCCACGGCAAAGTTTATTCCATAGAAGCAGACTCAAGATGGCTGAAGGAGATCACGTGCAACGTGAACCAAACAGCTATGGGCAAAATTAGACGCGAAGAAAGCAACAAATTTTGTCCTTCTAGATAGGTTCTCCATTCATACATAATGACAGGCCAATGTTTAAAGGGGCTTCACGGGAAATTAATGAGCTACCACTCTAATCATTTTTGCCGCAGTAGTAGGGGCGAATAAGAGGAGTATATTGCACACTACCACCGCCACTGTCCAGCCTTCACATCGGCGCGACACAAACTCCTCGAGAAACACTTATTTGACCGTCTCGGTGAATTAGCGAAACATTTGAGAAGGGAAAGACAGAGTCCTCACAGCGGTATAACAATGAGCATATTGGCGTAAGAGCGCTAGTAAGGACCAGCAGCTGGTTGTGTTTCAGAAATTTGCAGTGTTTGTTAGAAATACTCTTGGTACTCTTAAGGTCCAAGAAGTGATTAGCTAGTGGGTGAACTTAGTACATTCGTGACTCGGGTTGCTCGAGGCAGTTTGAATTCTCGGCCTACAGTAGGTGGTATTAGTAGGTTAACATTCTCTAAATGAGGTTGTTTGATGAAAAATTGTTAGTTAAATCATCTGCATATACATATTTAAGACAACAAACGCAAAAATCAGTTGCTAATTTTTAATACAATATTTTCGAAAAGTTTTATTGGTTTCATTTAATAGCTATAAAAATTTGCGTTTACATACATTTTTACAACTTTTGCTTTTTGCAATAGCACACACATAGACGTATGTAAGTATTTATATATGTATGTATGTGTACAATATGTAAATGATTTTCATTTTATTGATTTCGCTAAATAATTTATTCAAATTGCAATACATTTAAGGCATTTTAATGCGTTTCTTTTTCAATTTCCAACTTTAATTGGTGGTAATGCAAATAACTACATTTGTATGTATGTATAAGAATATAAAAATATCATTGCATTCAAAAATATGTTCTAAACATTGCACAAACGGTATAAAATAAGCAAAACAAATGCATAACCTAAAAACCTGGAAAGAAAAGAGCAGGTATCAATCAACGAGTGTTGCACACAGAGCTGAAATAATTGCCGAGAATGTGTAAAATCTATTGTACTATTACTTGTTTTACTTGTTTAACAAATTTTTTTTTTATTTTTTTAGCAATTCATTTTGCTTTGTAGCTTTTTGTGTGAATGCGACATAGCGGTTAAAAGTGCAAATCCATACATACATATATACATGTGGTTACATTTTCTAAATAACAAAATTAGTTTCTATTTCATTTTTCACATTTACAATTGGTGGTAGTTTCATTTTGAACAAAACTTCAATAAATATACATATGTATGTGTATGTGTATAGTATATCAAAGGGAATTTACATATAAAGAACTTAGAAGATTTTGCATTTTTTACTTCAATGCTTTTATGTGCGTAAGTTAGGGTGGTCGTAAGAAATGATTTTGCCACGCAACAAGGAGCTAGAAAATGGAAAAATTTAGTTTTGTATTTCGCTAGGATTTTAATAAGATTTTTTTTCTATAAAATATATACCGATTCTTTCTAAATTTAAAATTAATTTTAATGCTTTCATAGATAATCTAAAAAAAAATCTCAATGCTCTGTCTGTATCACAATTTTTTTTTGCAAGTTTATGAAACAAGAAACATGTTTACTTCTATTTTCCATTTTCTTCCATACAATTTATTTTATTTTATTTTCGGACCACTCTAATATGCATATATTCATCTAAAGTTCGTTTTTGTTTGATAAATAGTTAATTTTGAAGCATATATATATGTATGTATGTATATGTGTATATGGAAATTTCCAAAAATATATTTCAGTGACATTCACAAGATACATGACACGTTTAGCGTTTAAACTCAAATTTTACATGATTTATTTAATGAAAATTCTATAATTTCAAACACACTCACATCGCAATAGTACTTATTTAGCAAATTTAGTGCTTAGTTGGGTACAGACAACAGTTGGCATAAATTAATTAGTATATAACAATGCACTTAAAACGACGCCTCTGGGCAAGCACATATCGATTGCTTTAATTTCTTTGTTTATACATATGTATATTTATTGTATATTGCCTACGCGTCCAAAGATGTAATTACATAATTTTAGTGACTTAGCGCATAGAAGGATTTCGTTTCGATTTTTATTTAACAGACTTTAGCAACGATACTGTAGGAAACTGTTGCGAGATGATATGAACGCTCGCACGCAATAACGTCGTTTAGGAAATAAACAAATAAATGATAAAAAGAAATTATGTAATAACACTAGCAACGCTTCGCCGGTGGCACCAAGTGTTCCGGCAGCACATTCGGCAGTTCATTGCCTTCCAATTTGACGTTGATTAAGTGCATGGCGAGTGCAAATTCGTCTGAGTCCAGGAAACCGTCACCATCCACATCGGAGAGTTTCCAGATTTTGCTAAGCACTGAATTGGGCAACTTCGATTTGATGAGTTCCTGTTTGGCAGCTGAAAGTGGAGATGGAGAAAATAGTATTTTAGTTTAGATTTTGAATTATTTGTTTAAATCAAGTTTTGACTTACTCGCTCCCGATATACGGCCGTCCACTGGACCAAGCGCATTAAAGATGGAGTCTGTGCGTGGTTTGTCCCGATTACAGATCCAGTCGTGCTCCCCAAAACCAGCATCAATGCCCTCACCCTTCATGTAGCCGAACGGTGAGACATGGTCGTCGATCACTCCAGCGAAGGCGCCGCCTAAAAGGTGAAAATAAGTAAGTAAATGAGAGTGTTTTGAAATAAATTTATTTAAATATATGTATGTAAGGTAAATGAAGTGTAAATATATATCATAAAATAATAATTAATAATTGGTTTTAAAAACGAAAAAATGCCAAATGAAACTAAAACTAGAACTAAACAATTTTTTTCTTCAAACATGTGTGCATCCGTAAGCATATCATTTTTTTTCCAATTTTCCATGCTACAAGACAGAGCAGCAAGACGCTTCAATTGATAGGACTACTGTACGTCCATACATACAAACAATACCTATGCGGCAGCCAGTTGTTGCACTTGTTGCTCGGATGGCCGTTACAATCGGCTGCGACTATGTAGTCACAGAAGCAATTGCTAGCAATTATGAATACTTCCAAAAGTCAGCCAGTGAACTAGCCCACTTTACTGGGAGTCACTTGAAAGAGCGCGCACGCAGCCGTTCTTTTAGCGGCACATTTTGAGAACTGCAGTGGACACTTCAGTACTTCCATGCTGACTTGTTTATGGCAATTTAATCTCAATTGTCGCATTACAATACAATTGATGTGCTTGGTCAATTACATACATACGTACATCTGCATGTGATATTTAGTTGCATCGTAAGACCTGCGCGTATGCAATTTGCATCGATGATTTTGCATTTTACAAAACACACTTTCAAACGCTTAACGGTGTGGAGTAACTACAGGCGTATGCGAGAGTAGAGGTAATTAAAAAAGTCTGCCTCTAACCAATTTTTGTTCTATTAAATTGATACATACATACATATACACGTAGGTATATGGTATTGTGCTACTAGGGCAGATTATGGGGCCATTGTGTGCGTCGAGCAATTTACTTTAATTATTGACGATGTAACACAAAAAATGCTAGTAACTGCATATTATTTTCAGTAATAAACCACATACACATTTGTATATATCAGCAGATATATCAGGTGTAGTAAAAAGTAATCCATTAGTTTTGGATTTTAATGGTTTAATTTTTTCTTTTCGTATTCAGCCTTATTCAAATGATTCCAAACGGTTTCTGTGCAATCTTTAGCTTTCGGACCATTGAAATAGTGCTTACATGAAGGTCGGACCCGACAATGTCCATGATTTTATCGACATTTTCGACAATTGGTCTTCCAGTCCGTAAAGCATCTTTTACATCAAAATTACCCTTGATTGACTGTAAACGTATCAGGACCATAAACGCTATTCACATTGTCAGCCGTCTGACTTGAGTTTTCGCCCTTATCAAAGAAAATATGTAAAATAGAGAGTATTTTCTCTTGGCGGGTGAATCAACCAATCACAAAACTGTGAGAAATTTTTTTTCTAGCGGAACCCGATCTACACCTAATGTATTTTGCAACTAGTGGTTTATTCCAAAAATGACAATTTTTTTCAAATCTTTACACGATTTTAAATAAAATACGGTTAATTATCTTATAAACTCCAAAATATTTAAAATTTGTTTGTAATTTTATTTTGTTTTGCCTTATTTTACTCTCTTTTATTTGCTTAACCCCCTTACGCCGTCGCAGGTCACCGGTGGCCCGCAATAAACTGTATTATTGGGCGGCGCGGGTCACCAGCGGTACGCATTCGATTGTGCTCTAAATTATTAGAATTAAGACACAAAACTTGCACAATAAGATCTCACTGTGTTGCAGAGCAACAAACAGGCAGGTTTGAACAGGTAATAATCACGCGCCGCCAGATGAAGCGCAATATTAATTTGAGCGCCGCCTCATGGCAAAACAAATGAAAATCCGCCACGGCATGAACGTGTTAATCCTTTTTAATTATTTTATTTAATTTTTCATTGTATTTATTTTTATTTTTTTTTGTATTTGTTTATTTTATTTTATTTTCTCCCGTTTTAGTTGTTTTCATTCTATTCTGTTTCACTTTACATTGATTTTTTATTTATTTATTTTGTTTATTAATTTTCTCTCCTATTTTTTATTATATTCTATTCTTTTTTTATTATCATTTTATTTTATTTTGTTTTATTTAATTTTATTTTTATTTCATTTCATTTTATTTTCAATCATATACATTTTTAAATATTTTACTACTTAATTTTATTCATTAACTTTAATATTGTTTAATTTAACTTAGTTCTATTGTGTTTTCGTATTTTGTTTTGTTTTATTTTATTTTATTTCCTTTAAATTTGCTCTAATCTTTTTAATTATTTTATTGCATTTTCTTGTATTTATATTTATTTTTTGTTTAATCATTTATTTTAATTTAGTTTCCCTCGTTTTATTTATTTTCATTCTTTTTGCTCCACTTTACTTTGACAATTTTATTTAATTCATTTTGTTTAATTTAATTTATTTTATTTTATTTTTTTTCTTNTTTATTTTCTTTTATTTGTTTATAAATGATTGGGTTTTGAGTAATGCCTAAAAAATTCCCTGCACAGAAGTATACAGCATGAGTGTATGTAAATAAGAATGTCAGCGAACGTGTCTGCAGAAGGGAAAACAATGCACCGGCTAATTGCTCTTCAATGACGTAAGCTCTGTGTCATCATCACTAATGAAAGGAACAGTATTGTTTAAAATACTCGAGGATTGGTTACTGATTCTTTTCTTTATCAGTACACACTACTATATTTAACATTATTACATAAATATGTATGTATCTATGTAGCCGCACCTAATCATTCATTTATGCCGTTCGATTGGCCTTAAAGTGCTTGAAAAAGTCGACAGCTGCTAAACTGATATAAGAAATCGATTTTTCCATCGAAGCACAAATATTCAGTGAAATAAAATTATGTAACGAAAAGAAAAAAAAACGTAAATAGATCTACAAAAACATTTATTAAGTTAAATAGTTCTGTGCTGTAAATAAATATACACATATGTATGTACACTTGTATGTAAGCATTATTGCTAGGTGTGAAACAAATACAAGTAACGCACACATATAAGGTCTTACATCAAAATTCCCTGCGGCGTCGACGTCTGCGTCTCCCCAACAACAATTTATCAGATGAAGAAATCTTTGCCCAAAAATTTTGAAACTCTGACTGAATGTTTGGAACTTGGGCGGGTCAGCGGCGCTGTCAGTATCTAACACGCGCGTTTTAACAGTTAGCGGAGAGGCATTTTGTTTGTTTAGTATTTTTTTTTTTTGTTTTTTTTTGGAAGAAAGAAGAGTCAAAAAAATGTTGATAAGATAGCGCCGAGCATAGGTAAGCGCAGAAGTGACGGAATGATGGCGGCGCGCACAGCAGCGTTTGGCTGATGCTCATAAGAGGCTATGGAAATATGCTTCGTTGACGTAAATAATTAAGAAGCCGGTGCAGAAATAGATGGAAATAAGCGCGTATAAGCAATGGAGCAAACAGAGCACCCTAAGCGATAGTGAATGATAATTTGACTTGCATAAACTCACTAAAAGCGTAAAATGCGGTAACATGTGATAAAAGCCCAAAATACAAGTAAAGCAAAAAATAAACACATATACACACACACACAATTTGGTGAAAGATTATTGAGGCTGGAGTAGCAATATTGCGCTTTTTTGAGTTTGAAATTACGTAAGTGTTTAGCATATCTCAATATCTTCCGTGCAAACGAATGGGCGGACAATTGAACGTCTTTTCCTATTTTTGCGAGTTTTTTTAGGAGCAGCGGTAAAACTGGTAATGGTGTGAATTTCCCAGCAACTCTCGAATTTATGCAAACCGCTGCATGTTGATCTGTTCCATAAACACACACACATACACACACACATACTCAATATTGCAATTACTTACAAACATACGCACATTCATACGTTCACTAAGTACGTGTGTCAAGTTCATTAATCAAAGGTCAATGTTCGTTTGAAGAATTGAAGATTTCAAAATCACGAGCACATTCGACAGACAAATTTGCCGCTTCTTTTGTGTTGACAATCGTATTCTCGAGTAGGCACTAATCGCCGGCATTTGTGTTTGCCAAAGAGCTAATAATAACTAGGAGAAGAATAAACTTAGTGGACAAAGAAAGCTAAAATAAAAATAAATTAAATACAAAAATAAATATTTAAACCAAAATGAAAACACAAAATAACTGTTAAAATATTTGAAATAAAATGAGTAAAAAGAAAGAAAATTGTTTTTTCTTTGAAACTAATTATTTTAATTTTTATTATATTTTATTACTTTGGTCCAAATAAGAAAGCACCAGAAGAATAAGAGAGTTACCCACCCAAATTAATACCGATTCGGTATGGATTGGCAGACCAGCCTTTTAGTTTGTGAGAAATTTCAAAAGTTTAGTGGGTTTGAGTGAAGATCGCACCACCACAATATATTGGTCAAGTAATAAGTCAACTAACCCCGCAGTTAGTAGCGGATGATGAAAAATGGATCACTTACAACTCGCCTAACCGGTCCAAGCAAGGATTGCCACGGCCAGGAAGGTTTTGTTGTGTGTTTCGTGGGATTGACAAAAAAATCATCCACTATGAGCTGTTCCCCTACGGCCAAACTCTTAGTTTGGGCCTGTACTATCAGTAATTGGAAGCATTACTCCAAAAGCGCGCAACTTTGGCCAAAAGGAAAGGAATTGTGTGACATCGATAGTGACTCACCAGAAGCTCCGAAATCTTTTGGGGTTTCCTTATGCTTCTGCCTTATAGTCCGCACAAAGTGACTACATTTTTTCCTGTCATTTGGCTGGTGAAGAAACGCCCTCAATAGATGCCTATGAAAATCGGATGTTACTTAGCCTTATTTGATTAGAGATTTCGGGTCAAAAACAGTTCCAAAAAGAAAGAGGTGTTAAATCTACAATCTTGCACACGTAAATTCAAATAAATGTTGATACTGAAAGCCATCGAAATGGGAAGACTATGGACACTAAATTTTCAGATATCAATCGCAAAAACAAGGTATTAAAACACATAAAAAAAATTAATATTCTTTTTTTTAAATATAAGTATTAAGTAAACTACGAGAGGCCTGGCTGTTTGTATGAATTGAAA